GGGTTTTCTGCCCCTTTGTCTATGACAGATGGTACTCAAAGCTCTGTTCTTTGAAATGGAGAAGCAGGGTCCTCAAGGTCAAGGAAAGAGGCACTAGTCTAAATAATTGTCTTCAAGTGTTTGAAGGGTTACCATGTGGAGAACACAACTGACTTCGTTCTTATAGGTCAGAATCAGTTCTCATAGGTCAGAATCCGTTCTCATAGGTCAGAGTCAGTTCTCATAGGTTAGAATCCGTTCTCATAGGTTAGAATCCATTCTGATAAGTTAGAATCCATTCTGATAGGTTAGAATCCGTTCTCATAGGTTAGAATCCGTTCTCATAGGTTAGAATCGGTTCTCATAGGGTAGAATCCATTCTGATAGGTTAGAATCCGTTCTGATAGGTTAGAATCAGTTCTCATAGGTTAGAATCAGTTCTCATAGGTTAGAATCAGTTCTCATAGGTTAGAATCCGTTCTGATAGGTTAGAATCGGTTCTCATAGGTCAGAATCAGTTCTCATAGGTCAGAATCCATTCTTATAGGTTAGAATCCGTTCAGATATGTTTATAGGTTAGAATCGGTTCTCATAGGTCAGAATCAGTTCTCATTGGTTAGAATCAGTTTGACTTCAATGAAATGGAAGCCACTAACCCACGGGGGTGGGGAAGCTTCCTGTTTGCTGGCTGGAAAGTAATAGTGCTTCCCCAAGACAAAGGGATTCCTTGGGAGGGAAGGAAGCCTTGCAGTACAGAAGGAGATCTAGCACAGGTTGAACTAGCCGGTCTCGGCGTTGTTTCTTAGTTGGCTTGTAGTGTAGCATGGATAAACAATAGAATTTACAGGGATGAAATTTGCATTTGTGAGATGTTGCTGTAATTAATAGTGAGTGTGCCAATCATCAGCTACCTATAACCCTATTCCTTTCTTGCTCTTCATGGCCCAGGGTTTGCTTATAGCAATTACAGCAATCATTCGCACTCAGGTTTTATTTACAGGTACCCACCTGATAGTGAATAGATACTGAGTGCTCATTGTTTGTCAGGCACTGTGACTCCTTCAGTGCCCAGTGTTTTTAACTGTTGGATTTAACCAAGTCCTTGTGGCATTGTACTGAATGCTAGGGACATTGTAGAAATTATTTAAATATCAAGTGGTATTGATTTATAGGTGATGTTGAAATTCTTTTTAAATTTAAGATGTGGTGATAGAGCTTTTTGATTTTAGTCTCATTTTGAGTATATATCTAGTTTTTTGTTTTGCTTTTTTAAGTAAAATACAAATTTGAACTGGGACTGTTCAAACGTGTGCTATCAAATCCCTGTATCTATCTATAAGGTGTTTAGATCATAGGGCGGGGTGTCCTCTCCACATTATCATTACTTACCCCCAAAAGGACTGTGAGGGGAGGAGTTTAAGAAAGCACTCTTCTCCCTAAACCTCTCCTTAGAGATGCCAGCTGGGCCTTGGACCAGGCCATCTGTCAGGTGCATAGTCCACCCCTGAGGGTCCCAGTGTCCCAGAAATTGAATTCTATTTCAGTTCCTCCAAATGCAGGTTAGTTTTGTAAAATGCACCATGAAGCCTTGGGATTCACTTGTTTGGGCCTTCTTATGAACGCCATCCCTGGCTTCCGGGAACTTGCTGAAGGGTCCTTTTGAAAACCAAGTTAGTATGTGTGGAAGCATTGTTGATGGCTGCCATTGAATCGCCCCTTGTTGAATCGACCCTTCTTTCATGGTAACATCACACACATTGGGATCAGACCATTGCGATCCATAATCGGGTTTTAGTTGTCTAGTGTGTTTGAGAGAAGATCCCCAGGCCTTTCGTTGTGGTCTCTTCTAGTCTGCATACAATCCAGAAATCTCTTATGCATCGTAGCAACATGCCAGTCTTCACTAAAGGGGAGGTTATAACTGTGCTTGGGTGGATTGGCCAGGAATCAAAACTAGTCTCCTACATGGAAGGCAGGGATTCTACCAGTGCCTTCACTGGTCCCTGCGGAGATGAAGAGATCATATTTGAGTAGATAGCTGTTGTCAGAAGCCCTAATGTTCCACTCAGTGAATGCAGAAGTCAACACTGAAGGCATAAGATTGTCGCTTGACTGCATCGGTCGTCATTTGCAGTGCTGTCTACTTAGAAAGAGGACCAAAGTGCACCTGAAGGAACATCTGGTCCATAGGTTCTGGGTAAAATTCTATGCTGCTTGTCTCAGTCAGAACATGATAGCCAGTCCATCTGCTTCAGTGCTACAACTCGGATGATTCTAGCTAACCTTACACTTGGTTTCCCCAGACTTGTTTATGAGTGATCTAGAAAATATAAGGCAGTATAGTGTACACATGTCTTTAGATGCTTTTTTTGTAAAAGCCCAATTGAAATATGATTCACCTGCCATGCAACTTATCCATTTAAAATGTATAATTGAAATTCAATGTTGTTTGGCATCTTAATAGAGTTCTGCAGCCATCACAATGATAGACCATTTCCATCACTTCAAAAAGAATAATAAATACAAAAAGAATGTCTACAACCCTTAGCTATTCCTCCCAATTTCCCTATCCCTGCCTGCTTGCCCTGAGCAACCACTAATTTATATATTTTCCGGATTATGACATTCTGTGTAGATGGAATCATAGACCATGTGAGTTCTTTGTGAGCAGCTTCTGTCACTTAACCTGGTGTTTATCCATATTTTGAAGTCATGTTTTCAACGTTCAAAGCAGGCTCTGTACTCATAGGCAGGGGATATCTAGACATATTATTTCTAATACATATTAGTCTTATTGAGCCATGGTGGTGTAGTGGGTTACACGCTGGGCTGCTACTCATGAAGTTAGCAGTTCAAAACCACCAGCTGTTCCATGGAAGAAAGATGGCACTTCTACTCCTGTAAAGAGGTCTCGTCTCAGCTTAAAGCCCCAGGGTTGCTTGCATCAGAATCGACCCCATGGCAGTGAGTGTGGTTTGGGTTATTAGTACTCTTGGGCATAGTAAGACACACGTTCTTCTCTTTTTTACCTTCAATGCACCCATCTGATTTAGATCATCAAATCTTGCTCAGGTTTCTCACTCATTAAAGCAAGTTATCCAGGATTGACCATGAGAGCATAGACAAGTTTACAGTGTGAGTCCACATATACATATCTTTTTTTTATACATATATTTTTATGGTTCTGCAGAAGATTATTTGAAATGTAATGGAAGAGTAAAACGATGGCCCAAGAAAGGCCCTTGTAGGTCAAACCCCCACCTGTGCGGAAGCCCTGCCCTCTTAGTTGGTGTGATTGACAGTTGGGTAATCTGGAGCAGGGCTGGAAGAAAACAGCCCATGATTGTATGTCTTGCTCTGATCTTTTAACACCTATTAAAAATGTGAAAATAATAGTGTACCTGAACACAGCAGAAAACAAAAGACAGCCGTTTCTCACATGATAACAGTCGAGGAAACAATAGGTATCTCTGAAGAAAATATAAGTAATCTGACTCAGGGAGGAGAGAAAGCACTACTCAGTCTAAGATGCTAATATGTGGTCAAAAGAACGCCAATAGGTATGACTATTAAGAAGCAAAAGCAAGCCAGAAAAACACAGTAGCTACTGTGTGGAATCCAGCTCTCCAGCGACTCCCGCCCCGGATAGAATTGTATTTCATGACTGTGGTTTGCAGCATTGTGCTGTGCCCTGCAGGCTTTCAGAAGTAGATCACCAGGCCTTTTCCAACACCTCCTTGGCGGATGCAAACGAGCAGCCTTGCATTGCGCGGCCGAGTGTAACAATAATTAGAGCCACTCATAGATTCTGTGATGCAACTCCTCCTCGCATCTTCACCTCTGTTTGGATTAAAAATGACTGTTGCCTCAGCCTGTTTAAATAATTGGGAAGCTCCCCATCCTTGTCAAGAACTTGACTAATTTCTGCAGAAGAAGAACACGTGTTTATTCATTCTGCTCCCTCTCTCCCACTCCTCTTCATACAGCACCTATCATGATATCCTACCTAAAAGTTGATGCTCAATACGGGAGATCATATTTTGGAGTGTGGAAAGAGAAGTGGAGAGGTGGAAAAAATGTAGAGCTCCCAAACTGGAGCAAAGCCCAGAGAGGACTGGGGCTAAGAAGCACTGATTAATCTGGGAAAAGCAAGAGAAGTGCCCCCCTGTGGTTGCCTACTGTTGGCAGGGATGAAATGGGGAGGAGGGGACCACTTGAGAGTAGAGCTGCCTAGCTTCCAGGCCCCACTGTCCACACAACACGATTCCTTTCATAAGACATTTTCAGAATGGAATCACAGTTTACTAAAGCATGTAAATGCTCTTTCACATAAACCACTTGTTTCAAATAATAATAATTTATAATCAAGGGTTCACAAGGGTAGGAAGGGGGAGGGAAAAAAGAGGAGCTGATCCCAAGGGCTCAATAGAAAGTAAATGTCTAGAAAAGAATGATGGCAACACATGTACAAATATGCCTGATACAACTGATGTATGGATTATAATGAGTTGTAAGAACCCCCAGTAAAATGATCTTCTAATGAAAAAACAAAAATGAGGAGCTGATACCAAGGGGTTAAGTAGAAAGCAAATGTTTTGAGACGGATAAGGGCAACAAATGTACAAATGTGCTCGACATACAATGGATGTATGTACGGATTGTGATGAGTTATATAAGCCCCAATAAAATGATTTTTTTTTTTAAAGCAAAAAACCCCACCCATTTCATCTCAATTTCAGGTCACCGTCATTTGAATGTTCATATTACATCATACATGGATGTATCATTGAACTAATAAAAAGAATTAAGATCATGACATTGTATTTGATAACTGTGCACTCGACTGCCCTTTCAGAGCAATATTTTCACCTGTTTACTACAGCGGGCCACTGGCTCAGGGAGGACTCCAGCACTCGGAGTGGAGCAATACGTTTCCGACCTGTTTTGAGAGACCCGGACAAGTCCTTTCACAGTCTGGCTCCATCTGCCTCCTGTCTAACTTTCTCTCTGTTGGGTTACAGGCCAAGAAAGAAGAGGAAAGGGCTCTCGCCACCGTGACCTTTCACCATTGCTGGAACTGCAAATCCGTGGCTGGGCGTCTCTCCAAGGTAAACCATCTCCGTGAGCCAGCGAAGCAGCACATCATTAGAATTTGCACTTGGCAGTGGTTCCGAACACACAAACATTTAGCTGTGTTTTGTCTAATACAAACTTAGAGTGATCTGGGGATGGAGGTGGGAGGCGAGGCAGGCAGACACACACACACACTCTCTCTCTCTCTCTCTCTCTCTCTCTCTCTCTCTCTCTCTCTCTCTCTCTCTCTCTCTCACGAAAGCAGAGTCCTTGGTGCCTCCGGCAACCTCCTCGAATGGTGTTACTGGGAGAAACCCATCAGAATCCGAGGGCTCCTTCAGCTGGACTGAACTTCAGATATCCGCCGCTGCAGGCACAGGAAGCGGTCGTTCTTCCTTCACGTCTCTCTCTCAGACACATGAAAACCCAGACAAAAGCCAGTGTGGTTTGTGACAAACATAGCATGTCTTCCTTTATGAGGGAAGACTTGGGTCATGGATGTTAGAGGTTAAGATTAAAAAAAATAGACGCTGTCCCGTCGTCGCCCTCCCAACACACACACACAAACACACCCCACTGGGGGGAAAGACACCTGTGCCGCTCTTTCCCACCAGCGAACACTTGCAGAACCCCAGGCAGGACTTCTGTGAAAGTGCCGACGAAGGCAGCCTTGCTGGTGTGTGGCAAACGCGCCACAAGGTTCGGGTTTGGGAGATTATATTCCTGGTGCTTCTTTGGGTGGGGGGAGGATGTGGGCGTGAGAAAGAGCAAAGCGGGGAGAGCAGGGGCAAAGAGCAATCTGCTGGCCGCCCATGGGGTCACTCGGGCGCTTTCTGTGTGAGTCGTGAGCTTCCCAGGAACCAAGCTTAACAGAAGCAGCCGAGGACCTAGCTTCAGCCTTCACGAATCAGCTGCCAGTATTTTAACCTGAGTGGCTGTGTGCTTTCTGTGATGTTCCCTGGTGCTGCTCAGCTGTCGCTAAAACAGTCTGTGACTGAGCCCAGAAGTTGTATCTGGTGAAAGTTGTGCTTCCTTCCTGATAAAGATGCTGTGTACTCACACACTGAAACACACACACACACACACACACACACACACACACACACACATTACAGGAGCCAACTTAGCGGAAAATACACGGGTCAACTCTGCGTTTGGAAGTGGGCATTGACGTGACTTGTGCTCACTGTTCTAGAAGGGGATTCCAGCAGGGCAGAAGGAGATGGGGTTTTCCCGCTCCATCCTCACCACGGCTGTTCCCGTCTGAGGCGGCTGGGGGAGGAGGGAATGCAGGCTGTGCATTAGGGGAGGACTCTGTGATACTATTCATTCGCTGTTCTGACAGAGAAGACATTGTTTGCTCACTGTAATAGGCTTGGCAGGACTCTGTGCTGTGCATACAGAATGGCAAAATAGCAGAGCAGTGATGGATCTCAAAATGCTAAGCAATAGATCAGCTTAGGAACTAAAGAAATAAATATCTAGCATCCATTGCTGTAGACGCAAGACGTAATTTCAAGAAGTGGTTTCGTTTGAAGTGATATTTTCTTCCACATTGGACGTGCTTGTATTGCATGAAGAAGTCTTTAAGATAGCAGTATACTGTGGACATGCTGTGGGGACCCAAATTTAAACCATGACAACGTAGAAATCGACTGTGAAAACTTCAGACCCGCTTTGTTGTCCACGTCTTCTTGTTTTCCACACACATCCGTCTTATATTAGCGTTCACATGTCAGTGCTAAGGAGAAGTCACCTGTGGGTGCCACCCAATGATTCACTGAAGCAAAGGGGCCCTGCCTGAGAGAGAGAGATGAAGGTGGGTTCAGAGATGTAGGGACATCGCGACCCCATGCCTCATAAGCAATCAGAACTTGAAACGCAACAACTGCTAAAAGTGAAAGTTCAAAATAGCATTCAGACCCTATGTTGGAAATTGAACCAACATAAATTTAAGCCAAGATTGACAGTGGGCTCCTTTGCTTCTTGAAACTGCGTTTTTGTCTCTCACACCTCTCCCCAGGCAGAGGGACCATGCAATGAAATGAAATGCTTTCTTTGGGGCCCTGGCTGGCACTGACTTCGTGTGTGTGTGTGTGTGTGTGTGTGTGTGTGTGTGTATGTTTCTCTTACTGGCTGGCATTGAGTCACCCTGAGTGAGTGTGTGTGTATGTTTCTCTTACTGGCTGGCATTGAGTCACCCTGACTCATGGTAACCCCTTGTACAACTGAACAAAATGCTTCTTGTGATTGGTGGTTGTAGATCAGGCCATTGTGATCCACAAGCTATTCATTGGCTGATTTCTTGTAGTGGACCACAAAGCCATTTTCAAAATCTTGATCTGAAAACTTCAGTGAAACCTCTTCAGCATCATAGCAACACAAAAGCCTCCAGCCAAGAGATGTACATGAGATACATCAGCCAGGAATACAACGTGGGCCTCCCACATGCAGTGGAAAATTTCCATCAATGGACCACCCATGTCCTGTGTTTCTGTTACTAGAAGAGAAGAAGAATTATACAATATAAATTATATGATTTTATAAATGATAATAGTGATTATCTTAGCTTGAGTCCTCTAGAGAAGCAAATATATATATAAAGCTTATATCAAGGAAGTGGCTCACACATTGAGAGGTAGACAAATTCCAAGTCTGATGGTCAGATGTCAGGCTGGAGACATCTTTGACTCGAGTAACTACAGAGGTCAATGAATCCAAATCAACAGATCAAACAGCAGCCTTCTAGAAGGCTTCTATTCCAGCCAAGATTGGCAAGCAATATGGCAAACTCCTGACAACTCCCAGGATGGGCAGGCAATAAGGCAAGGCCCTGGGTCAAGTCCAAAGAACTGGAGATCAGAGGACAAACTGATTCCAGGATCGAGACCCAGCAAAAAGCAAGCAAACATTCCAAAGCATCCATCATCCACTTATCTTGCAAGCAGGTCACACCCAGAAGGAAATGTCCTCTCAATTGATTGTTCCTAGCAGATCTCATTGTGGAAGCAATTACATCATGCTAGCTCGCATCATGGATCTTGTTGTTGTTGTTAGATACCATGCAATTGGCTCTGACCCATAGCAACCCTATGTACAAGAGAACAAAGTACTGCTCAATATGTGGATAGATACCCTATCACAGAGAGCATTGTACTTCAAGATACATCTTGAAATGTTCCTTTTGATGATGAACATAATACCATTCCTCTCAAATCTGGCATTCCTGGCATGATAAGCCATGTGATTTTCTGATTCCAAGTGGCCACTACCAGTCCATGTAAGCTCACTGATGCCTAGGTTATCGATCCTATGTGTTCCATTTCATTTATAACAACTTTCAATTTCCTAGATTCACGCTTTGTACGTTCCAAGTTCCGATGACTAATTTGCATATGCAACTGTTTCTTCTCATTTTGAGTGGTGCCCCAGCAGCACGTGAAGGTCTCAAAGGCTTTGCTCTCACCGGCTTTACTCCATGTCCTGCCTTCAGACCTGCCGGGCTCGGCCTCGAGCACGCTGTCTGACAGCCCTCTGCTGCTCTTCCATTCTGTGTTCTGCTTCCACTGTAGCCGGCCTTCAGTGTGTTCTGACAAGACAGTGTTTGGATACCAGCCATAAGGTTTTCAGGCACTAATTCCTCTGACGTGGACAGCTAGTCCTTCTCTGTAGTCTGTTGTTGGTCTGGAAGCTCTGCTGAAGCTTGTCACTTTGGGTGACCTTGCTGGGATTCGAAGTACCAGTGACACAGCTTCCGGCAGCACAGCAACACACACGCCACCACAGTACAACAAACTGGAAGATTCCTGTGTCTTAACTGCTAACCAGTAACGTTTCTGAGCCAGCCAAGTTGACACAAAACCGTAATTAGCAGAACAATAGTAGTATCAGTATACCTTAGATTAAATCCTTAGCTTTTCATTTAATCAATGAATTCATCTTTTATCATTAAAGCAGATTCTATGCTATTTGTAGCATTATTCAAATTCATAATTTCAAAGTTTCTCAGCCTCTTAAAAGGCACTTGTTGTATAATCCTTTTCAATCAATATATGTGATTATTTCAAGGAAATAAGCTGTTTGAAAGACACAGCAATCTAGAAAAATTAGCCACACATTACCAGATTATTTCCCATATTGTGTCTATCCAGGTGGAGTAGTTGAATTGTCTTAATCCTAAAGTCATTTTTATTTTCTCCGACTTAACTACTGAGGTCCGGCTTACTGAAGGAAGCCAAGCAGGGTAAGACCCTCCTCGGCTGCGCAGAAGCTCTGCTCAGACGGGCTGTGGAAGCCGGACTTAGAGCCCTGGGGAGGCGCCACTTGCAGGGTAATTGCAGGGTCCTCTGTGAGTGGCAGCCATGCCTTCGGTCCTGCCTCCTTGCTCCTGCTCTGTTTGAATCCCTGGGAACCACTGTACAGGAAGCCTGGTCATTAGCATACACTAATGACAATCCGGCCCCACAGAACATGCAAACACAGCCCTCCAGAAAGCAGTGGGCACTCGCTGGCAGAGTGCCCCGGCTGGCCTCAGTGGTAGCCTTAGAGCTGGTCAGGATAGGCTTTCTTAAAATGAAGAGAAGGGAAGGTCCTGTTTTCACCGATGTTATATTGTTTTCTTTGTTTATCATGAAAAGAAATGTATCCCAACAGAAATTTGGTGTTCATGGCTAATGACAAATTTTATTAAACAGTTAAGTTATATTTTACTTACATGTGAAGCAAGCACTGTTTTAAGCACTTTGAAACTATTGATCCATATCACCCACCTAATGATCCGACAAAGTATAATTACTATTTATTCCCAACATACAGAACTAAAGCTCAGAGATGTTGACTGTTAGGGATTGACATGGGCTTATGGGAAAATCCACTAGTATTAGGTTCATTTCTCTATGAATAACTTGAAGGCCCCCTCATGTGTGTGGAAATCTGAACCTCTGTGGGTTAGGCTTTCAGCTGCTAACCTCAAGGTCATCGGTTCAAACCCACCCACTGTTCTAGAACAAAAAAATGAGGTGCTATCTGTTCTTATCAAAATTAACATGCTCAGAAACCCTACATAGGGTTGGTTTCTGAGAAACCTGTGAGTTGTAATCGACTCAGTGGCAGTGAGCTTTTCGGTTATACCTTAGATGTAAGCCCGTTAGAAACAGGGTTTTCTTTGTTATGTTAATGAGGCCACGCCAGTGGAGGGTGTATCCTAAACCTGATAACCTTTGAGATAGAAAAAATAAATATTAGGCACAGAGACAAACTCACTGCTAACAAGTCGATGCCAATTCACAGTAACCTTATAGCACAGGATAGAACTGCCCTTTTGAGTTTCCAAGACTGTAACTCTTTACAAGAGTAGAAACTTTGGTTTTTCTACTCCCTCAGGGAAGCTGGTGGTTTCAAACTGCTGACCTTTTGGATCACAGCCCAACTCAAAACCACTACACCACCAGAAACAATGTAGCAAAAGTAGAGGAAAGATTGTGCCATTTGGAGATCTCCAAAGGACTGCTCAGAAGCAGAGTCAAGAAATTACCCCCCAAAGTGGACAGCCTTTCCCTAGAGCCAGGACCCTAAATTCAGAAGTCTCACTTCCTAAACCAGGCGTCCTCAAACTATGGCCCACGGGCCACATGCGGCAGGCTGAGTGTTTTTGCCCTATTGGTTTTTTTACTTCAAAATAAGATATGTGCAGTATGCATAGGAATTTGTTCATAGTGGGTTTTTTTTAAAAACTATAGTCCGGCCCTCCAACCGGTCTGAGAGACAGTGAACTGGCCCCCTGTTTAAAAAGTTTGAGGTCCCCTGTCCTAACCTGTAAGACAATAGGTTTCTGGTCATTGGAGATGCCCGCTCGTGGTATTTGTAGTATACACACACCAGGAAACTAAGCAAATAACATATCCAAGTTCCCACTGGTAGTGAGAGTAATGACAAAGTTAACGGCCAGGCTCTCTACGCTAAAGTCCAGGGGTTAGGACTCTGTGTCCCCAGCCAAAGCTGATACCGAGTAGATGGTGTGTGGCAAACGCAGAACTACAGGCACTTTGACCCAGAGGTGGCAGTGTCCTACGTCTGGACTTCATGCTTGCGTAGGATCACCTCCAAGCAGCGCTGGAACAAAGCCAGCGTGGTTGTTGCGGTAGCTCGTTCTCCAACCCTGTTCTGAATTGGATTGGGCCTTTCCTTGGACCTGTGGGGGCCATGAGGCCAGCAGTGTAGTAAAGGTTGCCAAGGCTGAGAGCAACCAGTATCCAGGAGGATGTGACCATGGAAAGACATCTGAAATTCCTCTCTTCCACTCTCCATGGGAAAGCAGTTGTCTTCCGGAGGCCTTGCTATAACCTGGCACTTCTCAAAGGCTGTATTCACTCCCTTCCGAACTTGCCTTCAAGAGAAAAGGAAATAAAAAGTCTGGTTTTGATCAGACATGTGTGGGAGGCATGAGTTAAAGTTAAGTTCATTTTCTTGTTACTGGATGTGTGGGAATTTCAAAATGCTAATATATCTTGCGACTCTCCAAGGTAGGATGTAGAGTATAGCATTTCCCAAATTTATGGCACAACAGACATGTCCTCCCCACCCCACCCTCTGGGAGTAGACTTCTATCAATGTCTCTTGGGCAATGCTTTTCTTGAGAACAGGGGAGACAAGAGAATCTATAGTCCTAGGAAAGACCAGTTTTTCCGGGGGTGGGGGTGGGTGGGTGGGGACTCAATGAACTATATTAAGGATATCTAAAATATAGCCCATCTTTAAAGCAATAGTCTTGGAGACCTTGGGGCTTCATATCTTTAATCGTAAAATCTAGAGGCTAGAACTGGTTTATCTGAGCTATTTCCATCTTCTTGGTGTTTATGTTTCAGAAGGACTTTAAAAATCAGAAACAAGAGACAATGCGCCACTGTAGAGTAGTTAAATAAACAAACAGTTGCCATCAAGTTTCCTGTAGTTCATGGCAACCCCTGTGGGTCAAAGTAAACTGTGCTCTACAGTGTGGTCGTGGGCCCTGTTTCTTCAGATTACATCGTTGGGCCTGTCTTTGTTTGGTGAACTCAAACCAGCAAACCATTGGTTAGCGGCTGAGCTCATTAACTGCACTTCCTAATGACTCCAAGTTAAAAATAAAACAAACCAAAAGCAAACCCCAAACCATTATCATCAAGTGGATTCCAACTCACATGTTCTTATAAGACAGGGAAGAACTGTGCCCCATAAAATTTCCAAAGACATCATCTTTGGAAGTAGACTTCCACATCTTTCTTAACAGTGGAGTTTGAATGGATGACTTTGCAGGTAACTGCTGAGTGCTTTGACCACTTTAGGAACCACCAGGGTTCCTTAAAAAGCAAAACCAAAACAAATCAAACGCTGCCTTTGAATCCATTCACACCGTTAGCAGCCATGTAGCCTTGAGTAGAACTGCCCCTTTGGGTTTCAGAGGCTGTAAATCATTGAGAGCAGAAAGCCTTATCTTTCTCTGGAGGAGCAGCTTGTGGGTTGGAACAACTGACCTTGCGGTTAGCAGTCTAATGAGTACCCCACTATGCCACCAGGGTGCCTTTTCTAGGTCAAGGTAAAATGAGGTACAAGGAATGCCAAGTAGGAAAGATGGAAGAAGGAGAGAGGCTACTAAACCAAATGGAATCCCTGAGATCCCCTACAGGATTCTCCAGTAGAGATGGGGCAGAATTCTTGTTCTATGCTTTCTAGTGAATAGCTTGAAAAAAATAAATAGAATTACAGTTTCATGATTCACAGAGTCCTAACCTACACACAAACAGGAGAAATCATTGTTTGTAACCATGAGCCAACATTTTCCCCATGCTTTTTAATTCTGTGGCATTTGGTGTTTCAGGTAGAAATTCTGGCTCTCTGACAAAATGGCCCCAAACAGGTTTAGAACCCCCACTAGCTGTTCTTCCTAGCCAGTGGTGGCTGCACCATTCTCATTCATGGTGCCATGACACATTTGTTGTACACGTGACTGTAGGCGGGATGGTGGACTCCTCCCTCTCTGGGCTCCAGAGTGTTCTCCAGAACGGGGGGGGAGGTTCTGTGATGAGAGACCCAAAGGCTGGATTGTTCTTCAGGTGGAGAAGGTGCATCCTTACATCTGCTCTCTATCTGCAAGTCCCATTCTTTTTCCTTCTTCTCCTTTGTGACAGTGAGGATCAGGGATTCTCACCGCTACTGCACAGGCCATTGGGATTCCAAGGTGTCCCTGGGTAGGAACATTGTTCAGGTGATAAAAGTTTCAAATCTAAGTTCTGTTTGGAAATAAATGATTTTTCAAATATTTGTTATAGAAAACAGTACAGCTGAAAGACTTCTTCAAGTAGCTGAAGATAAACGTGTTTTTTTTTTTTTTTTACAATTTGCCATGTACTGTTACCTTTATACATTAGTTCAATTATTGCTTAAAGACAGTACGACAGTAAGCATAGAAAACAGTAATGCAATAGGAACTTGATGAACACTTCAAAATGATCTTCATCAGACTTAAAAACTAAAGTCATCTAGTCAAAATTTATATATAGGGTCCATAATAATGGTAATATATTATTCCCTAAAACATTAGCTGTATGGTGGTTTCATTGGTGTTTTTGTATTATTGTTATTGTAAATAATGTAATGTAATGTAAAAAAAATGTTAATATATTTCCAAGCTTAATTTTAGCTTGCTAGGGTATTTTATGGGCCTAAAATTCAATGATAAAACACTAATGATGCTCATTTATAATTTATTAGAAACAGTTACCATCTACGTATTCAATATATTAATTATAGCAAAATGTTTACAAATAATCTGAAACTTTTTATCCTGTTCTTTTATTATTTCAAGTAAATTATTTTTGTCTACCATGCCTGATACCCATACATTAGTTAATAAAATCAACTTTTGTCTATTTGATACCCTGACGTATTAAATAGAGCTTGAACCACATGTCTGGTGCCCTAACCACACATATGAGGAGCTGGCCTTAGTGGTGCAGTGGTGGAAATTCGCAGCTCCTAACCGAAAGGTTGACACTTCAAATCAACAAGCCATTTCTCCTCCGGAGGGAGGTGGGGCAGTCTGCTTCTTTAAAGACTCCGAGCTCTGTACGCCGTATGGAAGAACCATGCTGTGGGGTTTCCATGAGTCGACTGAAATGGCAACAGGCTTGGAATTTTGGTTTTGAACTGAACATAAACCAATCTACAGAAAGCCCTGGTGGCAATAGTGTTACTCATTGGGCTGTCATCCGCAGGGTCAGTGGTCCAAAACTACCAGCCGCTCCTCGGGAGAAAGATGGGGATTTCTACACCTGTAAAGGCCTACAGTTGCAGAAACACCCAGGCTCAGCTCTAATCTGTCCTGTAGTGTGGCTGTGAGTCAACATCAACCCCATAGCAGTGAGTTTATGCCAAGCTACCATTATAATTTTTTAAGTCATGCATTTTATTATATAACGAATTTAAAGTAAATTAAATGGCATATCACTTGTTAAATGGAAAAAAGTCAACAGAGTTATTAAAATTTCGATTTAAATGAATTTCATAATGAAATAATAATGACAATCTACAATAAAGTAATTTTACATAAGGCCTTTCTTATCTTCTATAAGATCTTTTAAATAATTAAAGTATCTCCCATGAGAGTTTGCAAGACTGACTGCGAGTCGAAACAGGTGAAGCGTTTAATGAAGTCAGGAAAAAAGATATTGTAATTGTGATTTCTATTCCATTTAAAGGGAACTTTTCCATTCTTGAGTATATGATTGGTAATTGGCGCTTCTCGGGTGTGGTGAGTTGCAGGAGGAAGATTAAAACGGTATAGTCAGTTATTCAGAGAGAATACTATACACCACTCTTGGCCTGCCTCGCTCAGGGAATACCAGGGAGCACCTCTTCAGGAGAAGGCCGGGCTTCAGCATGTCTCACCAGTCGCCGTCTGACTAGGTTCTTGTGCAGAATGGACATAGATTGTGTGCTCTCTTGAAATCAGTCAACCAGCGGCATTCCCCTAGTCATTGTTCTTAGAAAACCAAAGTCAGAGCTTCCTAAGAAGTCTTAAAAAAAAAAAGTTCAAATTTCTAAATGTAATTTTCTCATCTTCTTAAAAATGGGCATTATTTGTACCCCCTTGTTGGTAGGTACACTCATTTTCAAGTTCTGACAGTGCTATTGATTTATCTTCCTTACAGTAAGCAATTTATGCAGCCAAATGTATCTAACCAATTTCCTAATTATTTCAAGCCACAGCAGTTTTCCAATAATATTAACATGGTTTCGCTGCTCCAGTTATCAGCATAAAAATGCAATGGGGCTTTATACTTCTGTAAAGAGTTACAGTCTCAAAAACTCACAGGGGCAGTTCTACCCTGTCCTACAGAGTCATTATGAGTCAGAATCAACTCAATGGCAGTGTTTGGTTTTAAGTTTGGTCATCAAAGTAACAACTGTTTACAAAAACTTTAGTAAATATCCAAAGAAGCATTTCAATAGAGATGATGAAAGGAAAAAAAACACTGCCAGGTAAGCATTGGACTGCTAACTCCAAGGTTGGTAGTTCAAACCCACCAGCCACCCAATCGGACATTGATGAGACTTAACTATTCCCATAAAGATTTATAGCCTCGAAAATCCTATCTAAGGAGGGATATAATGAGTCAGAGCCTTGCAGGCATGCTGGTTCCCAGCTGGGCTGCTAAGAACAAGGTCAGCAGTTCAAAACCACCAGCCACTCTCCTGGAGAAAGATGCAGTTTTCTCCTCCTGCCAAGAGTTGCAGTCTCAGAACCTTGCAGGCACGGGTCTAGCCTGCCCTATAGGGTCACTGTGAGTCCGTGTGGACTCGATGGCAGTGAGTTTGGTTCTTGGTTTTTTATTCTGAATCAGGGCAGACTCCGTGGCAGTGGATTTGAATGTAGTTGATGTAAGCCACTACATTTCTCAGTAAATTGCAAATAGCTTTCTTTTTCAAACTTTGGAAGTACAAGTCATTTGTAACTACAAAGTAGATGCTAAAGAACTGTGTTTGACAACTTGGAGAACATTTTTAGCATTGGCATTTCCCTATTTATAGTATAGCATCAGACTGAGTAAAATGTTTGGCATTTCTGTAGGGATGCAAATGCTCTCACATTCTCTGTTGTGAGCTAACAATTCATTTCAGAGTAAGATGAATCATCTTTGTTTGGGAAATGTTTTATACAAATACTGGCAAGGAAGCGATCACTGCATTCTGGTTTAGTTTAAAATGTAAAGCTAGTGAGAACAAATCATGTGGTGCGGCCTTTTGTTTTCTGAGTTACTATGGTTCCCTGGGAACTGCTTTTATCTCTTTAAATTCTCGCTCCACTCAGCTGGGCTGCATATTTTGGTTTTTAGCTGTTGTTAACCCATGTTCTCAGGTCTCTCTTAATGTCAGTTTCTTTCCACCCTACCTTCCTCCTATTATTATATAAGTTTTATAACTATTTAAGTTTTCTCATAATTAAAACTTCTGATTACTGAAGCTAGCATATTCTCTTCTCTTTTACGTTTGTGAATAGAAGAAAAGTAATTTGTAGAATTTTGCCATTAATTAGCTAAGTACTGTACATGTATTCCATTGCCTTCTCTCAGACGGATGTGCACGCATGCTCATGTGTGTGCACAGTCACACGCATGCACACATCAGTGAAGTAACTTGTAATTCAGGATTGGGAAGGCAAAACACGAGCTGAGGGACCACTGTTAGAAAATACAGCAAACCAAATATATCACTTCTTGGATTGGATGCTAGAACACAAGCAGGACATTCTGGTAAAAACTATGGCAATCTGAATCAAGTGTGGACTTCAATTAGTCATAATGTGTCGATTTTGACTCCTTCATTATAACAGATGTTTCCTGCTAAAGTAATATGTAAGGAAGAAGAGAAACTGAGTGCGGCGTATATGAATTTTCTGCCTTATCTTTTTGCATTTATTTCTGTGATTCTAGAATATTCTAAAATGAAAACATCTTAAAAAATAAAAGCTGACCGGTATTGAGTCACTCAACCCATTGAAACCTTAGAGGGCAGAGTAGAACTGCCCCTGTGGGTTTCCAAGACTGTAAATCTTTATGGAAGTAGAAAGCCTCAATTTTCTCCTTTGGAGTTGACTGGTGGTTTAAAATGCTAACCTTGAGGTTAGCAGCCCAGAGCATAACCCACTACACCACTGCACTACATTTGCTGCATTATATTTATAATATAGTTAAATGACCATTAAATGACATTTTAGGGTATCTTGTTATTGAAAGAGTTGGAATTGAAAGTGATTGTGTCTCTTGTTACCAAAGTACTCTGCTGACACAGCCATTTGTTGTGTTGGTAGGTGCCGTCAAGTCAGTTCTGACTCATAGTGACCATATGAATACAGCACAACACAACCTGGCAGTACAACACAACAAAGCACTGCCTGATGCTGTGTCAGGGATATGAGCTATGTGTCAGAAAATCCAAGCATTTGGTAAATTGGGGACCAAATCCAACCTGCTTCCTATTTTTTGTAGGGCTGTACATGCTTGGTTGTGTGCCTTCCACATGCAACTTCCAGAAAGGGAAATGGATTCCTGAGCTTGACTCCCAGCCACTCGGTATTGTTATGCTTTGCTTGACCTGTGTCTGGATGTTCAGTGGAGTTCATTTTCCCAAGGAAGTATTGTGTTGTTCTGCAAGGCCAGTGGTCCAAACCTACATGCTGGTCTGAGAGATAAAGAGGAAACTCTCTGCTCCCCTAAAGGTTTCTACTCTTGGAAATCCTATGTAGGTTCACGCTGAGTCAGAATCAACTCAATGGCAGTAGATTTTTACTAGGATCTAGAATCAATTCTAGTCAAATTTTCTCGCAGGGGACTCATGACTTAGAAAATTCTAGCTCCTTAAATTTGTGATGAAAGTTTGTTTTCTGAATGTAGCTGTGGAATTTATTGGGGATGAAACGTTTACACTAAAGCAGTTTGCGTGCATTCTATAATTTATAGCATAGCATCCATCATCATTTCCAGCACTTGTGAACCCTGCCGAAGAAAGAAATTAATAATCCCTCAGAAGCATCCTCTTGCCAGGTGAGAGTCATGAGTGAATATTTTTAAAATACCTATACTGAATCTGAACGCAAAATTATATGAAATGCTTACGCCTTAATTTGTTATTAAAGTGTTATTATGGTAGTCATATGAAACATGTGTTTTTAGAAAGAACGATTTTTAGACTAATTTACTTTTAAATTGTACATTTAAGTGTAATTTAGCTCAAAATATTTAACATCATGGCTTTATTATATTAAGAGATATGAAATAATAAATTATCTGGTTTTTTAAATTTCATAGCATTGGAAGAAAGATGAGACTATTTGCTCCCATCAAGGTTTACAGCCTCACAAACCCCAGAGGGTGGTTATGAGTCAGAATGAACTCTATGGCAAGGGTTTGTTTCCTGTTTGGCTTATAGTTCTGTGGGAGGACCTTGGTGCCATGGTCAACGTGCTCAGCTGCTGCCCGGGAGGACAGTGGTCCAATTCCACAGCCATTCTGGGGCGGAATGGTGTGGGTGTGTGCCTCTGCAAAGGAGACAGAAGTGCTACTTTGCTATATCAGCTGCTCTCCTTTGTCATTGACCCAGCATAAGGCTGCTCCAGCACCCAGGGCTGCATCAGGGTGGGTCCATGTGGCTTCTTCTCAAGGATGTCTTGCAGGAAATGAGCCTTGCCAGCTGAAGCAGGGAACTGGCTAAGGCAGCTGCACCCTGGTCTGACCATCACAAAGCAAGAGACCCGAGAGCTCGAAAGGCAAGGCTCACAGAGCCATTTATCCCTCTGCTCTTCAATTAACCCCACGTGGTTACTGGCCAGGTTGGAACAATAAACTAACTACCTCAGGTTCTATAGTGCAGGTCCAATGATAAACCTGGTCAAGTTCTTTCAAGCTGGTTCTTGCACAGGCGTGGACAGGGGAGTGAGCATGCAGTGGGTCAGCAAAGACTCTTGGGTTTGCTGGCTTTGGAGTTTAAATTCAGCCTAGGGGTCTGATGCCTCCAGACATCCTGCCACTCCCAATATTTCTGCCAGCAGACCTCTTTCCCTCACTCTACCTGTGGGCTCGCTATCTCCTCTCCCTCAGTCAAAAAAACAAACAAAAATAAAAACTCACTGCCATCGAGTAGATGCTGATTCATAGTGACCCCCTGCGGGTTTCTGAGACTGTTTATTGGAGTAGAAAGCCCAATCTTTCACCCTTGGAGCTGCTAGAAGTTTCGAACTGCCAACCATGCCAATCACAGCCCAATGCATAACTACTATGTGACCAGGACTCCTTTAGCTCTCAATAGCAGTGAGTTAATTAGGCTTTGGGCCTTAGAAGACTTAAATAATAATAATAACTCAC